GGAAAAAATAGGTCATGTACAATGAAAAGGAATCAGACTGGCGTCAGACTGCACCATTGCATATTAGATCAAGGGAGACTTCTGACTGAACCTTATTAAGTTGTCTATTTATTTTGAATTTGCTAGAGGTTACATGCGCTCAGCAGAAAGAGACTGACAGAGAGAGCAAGAATGAGAAAGCACGCACACACACACACACACACGGGACATGATTTGGGGCACACACACACACACACATGTGCCCAGCATGTTTTTCAACCTGTTGAATCCGGGGCTTGGATAGCATGGTTGGCCACGTGGGATCCAGCTGATTTAACCATCGGGCCACAGACTGGCCTAAGCAACTTATTTATTGATTGATTTGTAACTATTATTTTAAAAAATTGTTTTATTTAACTTTTATTTATTTATTTTTAATTTTGACCAGAGAAGGACAGAGCAAGAGAGAGAGCGAGAGAGGGACAGAGCGAGAGAGAGAAGGTGAGAAAGCAAGCTGCCATATCTGGGACTCGAACTGCAGTTGGCCATGTGGGAATCCAGTGCCCTTAACCACCATGCCACCTGCTGGCCCCAGTAATTTATTTTTGAACTGTGTGAATGCATATATTAAAGCCTTGGCCAGGACCAGCCCTACTACCTAGTGGTTAAGGGAGTTGGATCCCACATGGCCAATCACAGTTCAAATACTGGCCCCAGCAGCTTGAAAAACATGCCAGGTGCCAGGTGTGAGCCTAAAATCCCAACAGGACAAGGAAATGGAAGAGATAGGATTGTGGTATGATAATCCCTTTTGGGGGGTGGGGGGTGCTTTCTCCCTTTCCCTGTCTTCTTGCCCTCTAGCAAATTTTAAAAAGGAGGCGGGAACAGCCAGTGACCTGGGGGTCAAGGCAGCTGGATCCCACCTGAGCATTTCAAGTCCAGACCAGCAACTTGAAAAACAGTTAGGTATGGCCAGCAGATGGCGTGGAGATTAAGGCAGCTAGATTTTACATGGCCAGCTTTGTGGTTCGATTCCCAGACCTGGTGCATTGAAAATCACAACTGGGCGTGTGTGCATGCATATCTGTAAGTCCCACAAGGAGAATGGAAGAAAAGGGATTGTAGCATGGCCATCCCTTCTGGGGAGTGAGTTCTCATTTTATTTCTATCTCTCTCTGGCAAGCACACATGCTCCATAACAAATAAAAAAAGAATTGTGCCTTTTTTTCCCCAGTCTTTACATCTTTATTTCTTTTTCATACCGTATTACACTAGCTAGGGCTGCCAGTTGAATGCTGAGTGTAAGTGGTGATAGCTGATATGTTTATCTCGTTCCCAGTCTCAAGGGGAAAAGTCTCCATCTCATCACAGATAATGTTAGTTCTTAGTTCTTTGTAGATATCCTTTATTAGATTAAGGGAGTTACACCATCTATTCCTCGTCTGCTGAGTTTTTATCTCTTTTTTGAAAGGCTAAAGACTGTGCATGGCCAGTTAGTGCATGGGAGAATGGGGTGGGGATCAAATGCGAATAGATATTAGCCTGCTCCAGAAGGCACCCTGGGACTCATGCCAGCAATTGTTGGGGGTATTGCCAGCCTTTCTGCCAACAATCCCCATGGGCTTGTCGTCAGGTCCTCTGTAGCTGACTGTCCTTTACTGTAGCTGGCTGCGAAAGATATTACGTGTGCTCTAATATTTGCTTTTAAACTTCCCTGCCTCCTCAAGTTTGGTGAGAGGAAGGCACGTTCGAGTTGGAGTAATGCGAAAATGAGCACGGCTGACAGCTCCTCTCCATTCCCAGGGAAAGTAAAAGCAGCTGCCTTCAGACTGCTAGAGACAGTCTCAGCTCAGTGGAAGTCTGAAGACTCCAGGATTCCCAGATTTAAACTAACGAGTGAGGAGCCAGCAGGTGGCATGGTGGTTAAGGGCACTGGACTCCCACATGACTGACCACAGTTTGAATACCAGACCTGGTGGCTTGCGTTCTCACTTTCTCTCTCTCGTCTCACTCTGCCCCTCTCTGATCAAATTACATATATATAAATAAATAAATAAACGAATTAGTGAGACAGTCGGTGGTGTAGTGGTTAAGGCAGTAGGATCCCATATGTCCGCTGAGCAGTCTGATTCCAGACCTGGTGGCTTGAGAAACATGCTGGGCTCTTGTGCACGCATGCCTAAAATTCCAAGAGAATGGAAAAGAGATTGCAGTGTGACCTTTCCCTCTGAGTGATGATTTCTCACTCCTCCCCTTCATCTGTCTCCAGCAAGTGCACCCTTTCTCAAAACACAAAACAAGGGGCCAGCAGGTGGCATAGTGGTTAAGCACTGGACTTCCACATGTCCAAACGCAGTTCGAGTTTTGGACCCAGTGGCTTGAGAAAAATCACACTGGGTTTGTATGCATGATGACCAAAATCCCAACAGGAGAATGGAGGAGAAGGGATTGCGGCGTGGCTGTCCTCCATGGGGAAGGATTTCTCAATTTCCCTCTCTCTGTCTCTGTCTCTCTCTCTCTGGTGAGCACATGTGCCTTATGGCAAAAACCTGAAAAAAAAGAAAAAAGCAAAAAGCTAAGTAGCAGCTGGAAGAGTAGAAAAGTCAGCAAGCGGGAACCAGCAGTTAGCGTAATGGCTATGGCGTTGGACTCCCACGTAGTCGACTGCAGTTTGCGTCCCAGACCCGGTGGCTTAAAACTCACGCCGGGCACGTGTGTGTGCCTAAGATCCCAAGAGGAGAATGGAGGAGAAGGGATTGTGGTGTGACCATCCCCCCTGGGGGGTTATTTCTCGCTTTCTGTCTCTACGTCTCTCTCTGTCTGTCTGGCGAGTGCACGCTCCCTACAGCGAAAACCTCTCCAAAAAAAAAAAGAAAAGTCAGCTGGCTCAGACGCTGGGTATGCTTTTTTATTTCTTTGTTGGCTATATCATGTGTGTGTCTGTTTGCTATAGTGTGTGTCCACTCACACACTAGCTGTCTCTTGAAAGAGAGACAGAAAGAGAAGGTGAGAAATCATCCTGGGGGGAGGGGAGGCAGAGATGACCACATCACAATCTCCTCTCCTTCCAGGATTTTGGGCATGTGTGTATGTTTTTCAAGTCACCAGATCAGGGACTCAAACTGCTCAGTTGGCCATGTAGGATTCAGCTGCCTTAACCTCCATACCACCTGCTGGCCCCAACCCTGAGTATGCTTTAAGCATGAGTTGTGACTTATGTGGATGAAAATTGCAGAGCAATCCAACTGACAGTCTGGAAACCATGCCCAGAGACCTGTCTGACCCAGAAGCAACACGGCAAAGGTTTAAAGTAGATGGGGGTTGGCCTGGCACTGCTTGCTTTGATCTGTCAAGTAGGCCTTCAGGGGCTGGCAGGTGGCATGATGGTTAAAGGCACTGGACTCCCACATGGTCGACTGTGGTTCAAGTCCCAGAGCTGGTGTCTTGCTCTCTCACTTTCCCTCTCTCTCTTCCTGTCTCTCTCTGATCAAATTGGAAAATAAAAATAAAAATAAAAACAAATAAAGTTAAATAAAATAATTTTTTAAAAAAGAAAGCCTCCAAAGGGGCAGGGTAGTGGTACAGTGTTAAAACTGACATTCTAAGAGACGTTTCCACAGGGATGTTCTGGGGTCACACGTGGAGACTTCCCAGAGTACATCGGGCATTTATTTGCCATGATCCAGGGTTGGCTGAAGCTAGGAGTGGATTGTGTCATCAGAACCCTTTTGGGGGTGCTATTTGTCTCTTACTCATAAAAGAAATAAGTGAATTTTTTTTTTTTTTTTGCCAAAGAATGAGTATAGACAGAGAGAGAGAAAGAAACAATGAGAGGGAAAATGAGAAATCAACCCCCTGTGGTGATGGCCATGCCAATCCCTTCTCCTCCTGGGATTTTGGGCATGCATGCACATGTGCCTGGCATGATTTTCAAGCCACCAGGTCTGGGATTCAAACCACAGGTGATCATGTGGGAGTCCAGGCCCTAACCATCATGCCACCTGCTGGCCCCTATGAATAAACTTTATTTTAAAAAGACCTTTAGAGGGACCAGCAGTTAGCATAATGGCTATGTCGCTGGACTCCCATGTAGTCGACTGTGGTTCAAGTCCCGAACCTGGTGGCTTGAACTCACACCAGGCGCGTGTGCGTGCGTGCTCAAGATCCTGAGAATGGAAAAGGGATCGCAGCATGGCTATCCCTCCTGGAGGGTGATTTCTTGTTTTCTATCTCTCTTTCTCTCTGTTTCTTTCTGCATGCATGTGCCCTAGAGCAAAAACAAAACAAAACAAAACCTCAAAATTAAAATAAATAAATAAATAAATAAAGACCTTTAGAAGGAGCAGTAGCAGTGCTGGAGATGGGGACTCCTGCTGCTGACCACAGAACCAGAGGTGTGCCACTGCCCTGCTAGCCACAGCCTTCTGACCTATTTTTAGATCTGTGACTCAGAGGCCTAGACTAGCACTCATACTTTTGGGAGAGAAGTCCCTGCTCAGGGGCTGGCTCTTAGGGGTAGCATGGGTCTGACTAACACCATGATCACATTCATATCAGACCTCAGTTGCAGCGATACAGTTTCCAGAACACAACTTCTTTTGGCCTCCATGTTGTTATTATTATTATTTTTTGGAGAGGTTTTTGCTATAGGGCACGTGCGCTCACCAGAAAGACAGAGAGAGACAGAGAGACAGAAAGTGAGAAATCACCCCCCAGGAGGGATGGCCACACTGCAATCCCTTCTCCTCCATTCTCTTGGGATCTTGGGCACGCACACACACGCGACTGACGGGAGTTTAAGACACTGAGTCTGGGTTCCGGGTCCTTCAGCCTCGTTCCTGGGCAGTATAAAGTTTGCTGTCTCCTTTGTTCGCCCTCTTGCACAGCAGTGCAAGCAGCTCCTTCGTCCAGTCTTGGAGCCGGCCGCCAACACTCGGGCTGAGCTGCTACGAGGCCCCGAGTAAGGAGCTCGTAGGAGGTTGGAACCGCCATCATCCCGCCGATTATTACTGGGGACAAAAATGGGTGAAGCAGATCGCCCAGGAAAGCTCTTCATTGGTGAGCTTAATACAGAAACCAATGAGAAAGCCCTTGAAGCTGTGTTTGGCAAATTTGGACAGATAGTGGAAGTACTCTTGATGGAAGACCGTGAAACCAACAAATTGAGAGGATTTGCTTTTGTCCCTTTTGAAAGCCCAGCAGATGCAAAGGCTGCAGCCAGAGCCATGAATGGAAAGTCTCTAGATGGAAAAGCTATTAAGGTGGAACAAGCCACCAAACCATCATTTGAAAGTGGTAGACGTGAACCACCTCCACCTCCAAAGAGCAGAGGCCCTCCCAGAGGTCTTAGAAGAGGACCAGGAGGAAGTGGAGGAACCAGGGGACCTCCTTCCCATGGAGGGCACATGGATGATGGTAGCTATTCCATGAATTTTAAGACGAGTTCTTCCAGGGAACTCCTTCCATTAAAAAGAGGGCCACCACCACGAAGTGGGGCACCCTCCTCCTAAAAGATCAGCCCCGTCAGGACCAGTTCGCAGCAGCAGTGGAATGGGAGGAAGAGTCCCTGTATCACGTGAAAGAGATGGTTATGGAGGCCCACCTCGAAGGGAGCCCTTGCCCTCTCGTAGAGATGTTTATTTGTCCCCAAGAGATGATGGATATTCTACAAAAGACAACTATTCAAGCAGAGGTTACCCAAGTCCTGGTGATACAAGAGATTATGCACCACTACCAAGAGATAATACTTACCATGATTACGGTCATTCCAGTTCACGTGATGCCTATCCATCAAGAGGCTATAGTGACAGGGACCAGCAGTTAGCGTAATGGCTATATCGCTGGACTCCTATGTAGTTGACCGCGGTTCACGTCCTGGTCCCGGTAGCTTAGAACTTACGCTGGGCGCATGTGCGTGCATGCCCAAGATCCCGAGAGGAGAATGGAGGTGAAGGGATTGCGGTGTGACCATCCCCCCTGGGGGGTGATTTCTCGCTTTCTGTCTCTCTGTCTCTCTCTGTCTGTGTCTGGCAAGCACCCGCGCCCTATAGCGAAAACCTCTCCAAAAAAAAAATAAAAGAGGTTATAGTGACAGAGATGGTTATGGTCATGATTGTGATTATTCAGATCACCCAAGTGGAGGTTCCTACAAAGGTTCATATGAGAGTTATGGTAACTCGCGTAGTGCTCCACCTACATGAGGGCCCCCGCCATATTATGGTGGAAGTGATCACTATGATTACAACAGCTCACGTGACGGATATGGTGGAAGTCGAGGCAGTTACTCAAGCAGCGGAAGTGAACTCTACTCGAGTGGTCGTGATCGGGCTGGCAGACGAGAAAGAAGGCTTCCCCCTTCTATGGAAAGCGGGTGCCCTCCTCCACGTGATTCCTACAGCAGTTCAAGCTGCGGAGCACCAAGAAGTGGTGGCCTTGGAGGAAGCCGATCTGATAGAGGGGGAGGCAGAAACAGATACTAGAAGCAAACAAAACTTTGGACCAAAATCCCTGTTCAAAGAAACAAACAAAATGGAAACTATTCTGTCATAACTACTCAAGGACTACTAAAAGGAAAATTGTCTAACTTTTTAAAATTTCCTGTGACGTTTCCCTCCATAATTTTCATGTTCTTGTGAGGAAAAAAATTAAAACATGTTTAATTTTATTTGATTTAATGACATTGCTTCCAACAAGCTAATGTTAAATGTGTAAGACTTGACTTGTACTAGTGTAATTTTCCAAGTGTCCCTAAAGGCCACTTCCTATCATTTTTCCCAGTAAATGAGGTAAGCAGTTCTAAGATCTTCCACAAACATCTAGCCATCTAAAATGGAGAGATGAATCATTCTACCTATACAAACAAGCTAGCTGCTAGAGGGTGGTCGGGGTATGCTACTCATAGGATTTCAGGGTGTCTTCAAACTGAAATCTCAGTGTTCTCAGTAAGAAAAACCTGAGGTCAGATGCCTATGTAAGGAAAGTGCTATTCACTCAGTAAACCCAAAACAGATGAATAATGCTGGCCATATTTTGCCTTTCTGACATTTCCTTGGAAATCTGCAAGAACGTCCCCTTTCCCCTGCCCCAATAAGATCATTTAAGTGTGTGTTAAACAACTACAGAATAGTAAATAAAAAGTTTGGTTCTCTACCTTGTAATAACTACATGACACTGGGTCCGGGACTTGAACCGTGCTGGACTACATGGGAGTCCAGCGACTAGCCTTTACACCAACTGCTGGTCCCTATTTTGTTATTTTAAAAGTGTTTTTATTTATTTCTTAAGGAATTATTGAATTTGGGCTGGTGGGTGGAGTGGTGGTTAAAGGTGCTGGATTGCGGGAACCAGCAGTTAGCGTAATGGCTATGTTGCTGGACTCCCACGTAGTCAACCGCGGTTCGCATCGCGGACCCAGTGGCTTAAAACTCACGCTGGGCGCATGTGCGTGTGTGCCCAAGATCTTGAGAGGAGAATGGAGGAGAAGGGATTGCGGTGTGACCATCCCCTATGGGGGGTGATTTCTCGCTTTCTGTCTCTATTGTCTCTGTCTGTCTGTCTGGTGAGCGCATGTGCCCTGTAGTGAAAAACCTCTCAAAAAAAAAAAAAAAAAAAAAAAGGAAATAAATAAATAAATAAGATTTAAAAAAAAAAAAAAGGTGCTGGATTGCCACATGGCCGACCATGGTTTGAGTCCCAGGCTTGGCGGCTTGCTTTCTCCCTTTCCCTTTCTCTCTTTGGTCAGATTGCTGTGCTATGGCCAGGGCCACAGGGGAGGCCTGGGTTGGGTTCTCATCTCAACCTACACAGGCTGGGCAGGGCGGTATGCACCTGTAGTTCTAGCTGACTGGGAGGGTGAGGCAGAAAGGATTCACGATGTAGTCAAAACACCTCTCTCTCTTTCATTAAACAAAGATTAAATAAAATAAAATGAAGGAACGCAGTACGGATGGAGGGTGACCAATGAGGAGGTTATTGTAATAGTCCAGGCAAGAGTCAAAAGCAGGCCGGTTTTCTGGTGTAAGAAAGTAAATCAAGCATAAATGTTTACCTTTTTTTTTTTTTCGGTTTTTGCTATAGGGCACGTGTGCTCACTGGAGAGAAGGAGAGAGAGACAAAGAGAGACAGAGAGAGGGAAAGTGAAAAATCACTCCCCGGGGAGATGGCCACCACAATCCCTTCTCCTCCATTCTCCTTTCAAGATTTTGTACATGCACACACCTGTGCTCAGTGTTTCCAAGGCTCAAAGAACAGTTGGCCATGTGGGAGTCTAGCGCCTTAACAACCACACCACTTGCCGGCCCTACCTTCTTCTTATTTCTTTTTTTAAAAGAATTATTTATTTAACTTTTTATTTGCTATTATTATGATTTCATTTTGACCAGAGAGAGAAAGGGAAAGTGAGAAAGTAAGCTGCCAGGTCCAGGCCTTGAACTGTGGTAGGCCATGTGGGGGTCCAGCGCCTGAACCACCATGCCACCTGCTAGCCTTCCCACCTTTTTTTCTTAATTTTTAAATTTTTGCCATAGGGTGCCTGCACTCCCTGGAGACAGAGAAGGGAAGTGAGAAATCACTCCCCAGAAAGAATGACCATGCTAAAATCCCTTCTCTATTCTCCTCTTGGAATTTTGGGCACATAACTCATGATTTTTTAAAATTATTTTATTTACCTTTATTTATTTATTTAAATTTGACCAAGGAAAAACAGAAAGAGAGACAGAAAGTGAGAAAGCAAACCACCAGGTCCAGGACTCAAACCATGGTTGACCATGCACCCTTAACCACCACATCACCACACAACTCATTTTTAACAGGTGACAAGATTAGGTATGTATAAAATCAAACCTGAGACAAGCAGGTGGTATAGTGGTTAAGGCACTGGACTCCCACATGGCCAATCACAGTTCAAGTCTCAACTTTCCTTATCTCTCTCTCTCTGTGTCTTTCTCTCACGAGCATATGTGCCCTATGGAAAAATTGTACGATATAATAATAAATTAAAGGAAATAATTATTTGTACAATATAATACTAAATTAAAGTAAATAATTATTTTTTTAAAAGTTCAAACCTATCTATGAACTACTATAATTGAGTGAGCTATCAAAATATGCAAAAATCAGGCCAGTCCAAGGGCATGGTGGTTAAGGCAGCTGGATCTCACATGACTGACTGTGTAGTTTGAATCCCCAACCTGGATACTTGAGAAACACGCCAGGCAAGTGCGCATGCGTGCCCAAAATCCTGAAAGGAGAATGGAGGAGAAGGGATTCTGGAGTACCACAGGGCTGTGGAGATGATTTCTTATTTTCTCTCTCATTGTCTTTCTCCATCTCTCTGGTGAGCACACTCACCCTAGGGCAAATCCTAAAAATAAAATAAAATAAAATAAAAAGTTTGTGTAATTTATGTAAATGACACCTCAGTATTAAAAAAGGATATATGGAAGAGGACCTTGGAACCTCTCCATTGACCTGCCCCTCCTGTACTATACACGCCCCCCTGAAAGCCCTGCTAACTCTTCCACCCACCACATGCTGTGAAAACAGGCAAATTTTTGCATCAAACCTCCAGGGACTTCTGTTTCTCTTAAGAAAAAAATTTCGTTTTTCTCAGCATACTTGTATAATCTGATCTGGTCTCTGGGGAGCACCCCTGGTCTCCCCTCTGTTTCTAAAATGAGCCAAATTTCTTGCTTTGGAGCCTCTGCACAGGCAGTTCCTTCCACCTCTTAGCTAGAGACCTCTTCCCCAAATAACTCTCATTCTTCCACTGTCAATTTTTTAAAAAGACGTATCCATTTCATTTTACTTATTATTATGTTATTTACTTTACAATAGGGTAAGTGTGCTCACCAGGAGAGAGAGTGAGCGTGAGAAAACAAGCCGCCAGGTCTAGGACTCGAGCATCCCATTTTTAGAATGCCTTTAGAACCTTCCAGAATGTGTCTCTTTGAAACAAACTTCTGGCACGCTATACTTTTTCTTCACTACAATATGTTTCAATTGTGTTATATTTAGACTGCTTATCTTCGTCATTTTTATTTGTTCTAATCTGTGTTCCTTACCATGTGACTATAAGAAACATCTTTTTTTTGGGGGGGGGAGAGTTTTTTTTTGCTATAGGGCGCGTGCGCTCGCCAGACAGACAGAGAGAGACATAGAGACAGAAAGCGAGAAATCACCCCCCAGGGGGGATGGTCACGCCGCAATCCCTTCTCCTCCATTCTCCTCTCGGGATCTTGGGCACGCACGCACATGCACCTGGCGTGAGTTTTAAGCCACTGGGTCAGGGACGTGAACCGTGGTCGACTACGTGGGAATCCAGTGACATAGCCATTACGCTAACTGCTGGTTCCCAAGAAACACCTTTTTATAAAATTGTCAGAGGACACATGTGCCTGCCAGAGAGAGAGAGAGAGAGGGAGAAAACACCCCCTAATTGGGGATGGTCACACTGCAATCCCTTCTCCTCCTTCCCTTCATCCTGCTAGATTTGGAAATGCATGCAAATGTGTGTGGTGTGGTTTTCAGGCCACCAGGGCCAAGACTCAAACTATAGTTGACGATGTGGGATGTGGCTCCCTTATCACTAGGCCAGTGCAAGAACCACTCCATCCCTAACACCTGGCACGGTACCTTGGACCACAGTAGGTGCTGCAAAATGTGTTGAGTGAATGAGCACGTCCCTTCATGAATGCCTGCGGTTTACTGTGTGCAAGACCAAATAGAGGAGATGGGGGAGAGCATGAGGTGATGCCTGTCTGAGCTCACAGGCTGGAAGGAACAAAGCTAGCAGAGAATTTTTTTTTTTGAGAGGTTTTTGCTATAGGGCATGTACACTCGCCAGACAGACAGAGAGACAAAGAGATAGAAAGCAAGAAATCATCCCCCAGGGTGGATGGCCATGCCGCAATCTCTTTTCCTTCATTCTCCTCTTGGGATCTTGGGTACGCACGCACACAGGCCAGCATGAGTTTTAAGCCACCGGGTCCGGGACGCGAACTGTGGTCGACTACATGGAAGTCCATCGACATAGCCGTTACACTAGATGCTGGTCCCAAAGCTAGTATAGTTTTGTGAGACAAATGGGACAACTGGAAAACTACAGAGCTGGAGATTTCAGAGAAGGCTTCCTGGAGGAGGAGGAGGTCCAAATGGTCATCCTCTCAAACAACTTAAAGAGCCCCCATGAGGCCTATCTGGAGAGGCACCCAAACTTCTGAGAGCTTTCTGGACTCACAGTTCTCTGGGATTTGCCCATGACTGCACCTGTGCAAACATGGAAACAAAGATGTTAATTCTGTGAGATCCCAGAGAATTTTCAAGATGTGATCTCATTTTCACCAATCTGGTAGGCTTTATGAGGTCTAAAGTTTTATTTCCAGGGCTTCTCTCTCTCTCTCTCTATATATATATATTGTTTTAAGTTTACATACTTGTTTCTTCCATGAGTGAGAGCGAGTGAGAAAGAGGGAAACAGCAACCTCAATAGGGTTGCGACACTGTGATCTTTCCCCGGCCTCAGGCAGTCCAGCAAGCATACTCAGGGAGGTCTCCAGATTTGAACCAGGAACTCTCTCATATGGG